TTTTTTTTTTTTTTGTTGTTGTTGTTTAAAATACGGTTAAGTTATCCTTTTTTTAGTTCTTTTTAGTTTTTTCTCTTTTTCTGGGTACAATAAAAATTGATAGTATACTCACTGAACTCTGTTCGTTTCGATCTTTTACGCCTGTTTACACTTACATCAATTTTTTGGTTTTTTTTGTCGACTGCTTTTGACACTTGTTTCTTTTCTTTTTTTAGGTTTCTAAAATAATTTTGCTTTGGAATTGACTGTATTTAGGTTGTATTGTTTGTTATTTAAGCTTGGTCTGTCGAGTGATCTGATGAGTTGGGCTATAAGTATTTCATCTGCAAATTTTAGCAACTGCTACATTGGGGTTATGTTTACTCAAGATTTGTGTAATATGTTGCTTTGTCACTGAGAACTCATAATTTGCGTCGTCATTATTTAGCAGGCGTAATTTCAAGGTCAGCTTAGAGGAAATTTTGCTAGCAAAGTGCTTTAGTAGTCAAGGATGTTATGAAAATTGTTGAAAATGGTATTTCTGTTGAAGCTTATGACAGTTTTTGGTATTTAAACGGAGTAGCCTTTGTTTTTAAGGGCTTTATATATGAATTTCGATTATAGCTCCTGTAGAAGTTTTCTTTGGATTTTCGTTGAAAGCTTTTGTGAAGTTATTTGTTATGATTTTTTTGGGGCAGGACTGATGCAGTGCAATAGGTTTTTCTTCTCACAGTAAGATTAAATATTTTAACTTGTTAAGTGCTATGATTTCAACTATAATTTTACTGTTAAGCAGTTTTAAAAATTTTTTGTCTTTATGGAGAATGTTCAGAATTTCGAGTGCACTGTGAGTTTCAGTATATTGAGAGTGTACCATTTCATTGAAATTTTTTGATTTCTAAATTGTTTCATGAAACGGCTACAGAGGATTGCAAATTCCCTGTTAAGCTCTTATTTTTTAATCACTATTTATTGCTTGATTAAAATAATCATCTTTTATTTCGGCAGGAACAGAAAGGGGTTTATAGAACTACCATTCTATTTCAAGTGAGGCTAAGGCCATAACCCAACATTTCTGTGCTGTGCAACAGTATATTTTTCATGTAGTTTAGCAATGAGAACTACTACTAGGAATCCTGAAGTTATGCTTCACTACTGTTTTTGAGTTAAGATCGTTATGATTCTGTAGGTTTTCGGTGGTTTGGAAATGGAAAGGAGCACGTGGCTATGTATAGTTAATCACATTACTTATGGTACATTAAAGAGTTCTTTTCAGTTGTCGGTTTAGTGAGATCTTATGGCATTTGCTGCCTTATTTGCATGCTCTTTTGTGCAGTTGTTATTAAATGTTAATTCTTATGTATTTGTCTCTATTTTATTTTTAATTTTCACGCAGTTATAAGGCGAACAGTGTCATGCTGCTGATTATAGTGTTTTTATGAACTAAACCAAACAGATAGATTTAGGCAGCAAAAGGTGCTAATCGGGATGTCAGCGAAAGGCAAACAAAAGCAAAGAAGTGTTTCTCGGGCATTGCCATCGACTGCCAGTAGTACATATGAAACCTTGAATATCGATACAACCGAAGAATCTACAGGGGATATTCTCTCATCGTTCGTTTTTATTTTTTTTCCTGTTTCTGTTAAGAATTTTAGTGTCCATGTAATTATAACGGTTTTGTTCACTTTTGTTTTCGTTCTGGTTTGGTTTTTTAACAATTTCTTTAACAACTTGTGAGAACTGGGACGTTAATTTGAAATTCTTGAACTGAAGCGTACAGAAATTTGTTAGGATTTAAGACCTATGTTTTATTGTAAACTAGTTTCGCAACTTGTTGGTTTTTCTAACATTAAAAAGCCACAAAAACCATCTGTGTTAGCACTGTTGTTAATGTTTTGGTAATAGCGCTGTAGTGCAGAGAAGATCGTTTTTTAAATTCATTCTATCGGACTTTTCGTTGCACTTGTTTGTTGTTCGAACTTTGTATACTGGGCACTATTGAAGGTTGTTCAAGACATCGGCATTTTACCAAACATTTTTCATTTCTCCACTAATTACTCTGTCATCGTAGTTCATCTAGCCTTGCTTTTTAAGCTCTGCGTCAATGTCTCCGAGTAGAAGGACAAGATTGATTGAAAAGGAAACGCTATCAAGCCTAAATGATCGTTTGGCTGTTTACATTGATGTGAGGAGTTTAAGGAACCTCGAGTTTTTTATATAGCTTTTTTAAGATTTAAGACTGTTTTAAACATTTAAAGCCATGTTATAAGTATCAGCCTTTTTGGTATTTTTAGCGTGTCCGTCAACTTGAGCACGATAATGAACGTTTGAATGTGCAAATCAGGGAAAGTGAAATTGTGGAGAAAAAAGAACGTTCTGATTTGATTGCACGCTATGAGGAGAAAATCAAGGAGCTTCGGACTTTGGTGGATGAAGCACTTAAAGAGAAAACCCGTATTAATATGGAGGCCAAAGTCGCTTTCACAGAACGAGACAATGCGGTTGCGAAGGTTCGGCTCATTCTGTCTTTCACTCTGGCCACTTTCGATTATGATGGACAACATGCAAAACTTTTTTTAAGGCCATTAAACTCGAGAAGGACTTGAAACAGCTGGAGAAGGCTAGAACTATGAGTGAGTCGTTGATTCAGGATCTACAGGCAAAGCTTAACTCGGCGGAAGCAGCGCGACGTAGACTTGAGGAGGAGAATAAGGTTTTTTTTTTTTTTTCAAGGAAGAGTATTACATTGTTTTTATTTGTAATCATGGGTGCAAGCTGGCTTTCAAATGGCACTTATTACTGCGACTTTTAGAATCTTGGGTTGGAAAATGCTGATTTGAATCGGCAACTGGAGGTGTTGCGTAAGCAAGTAGAGGATGTCACTTTAATCAACACTGCCGTTTTAAATCAAAATCAGTCCTTGAAGGAGGATTACGAGTTTTTGAAAAAAACTCATGAAGACGTTAGTTACTTGTTTTCTTCTCTATTTAGGTATTAGCTTGTACCAGTATTACTAATTCATTTTACCTATTTAAAATATTTTAGCAAATGGAAGAGGTGCATCGTAAACGGCAGGTAGAGATGACGACGACTGCTCGGGAAATGGAACGTACTTACGAGTCGCGCCTGCAGGAGCAGCTTCAAGCGATGAGAGCTGAGTTTGATGCACGTTTGAATAGAAATCGTCGTGATATAGATGAGACTTACAAAGTGAGTTGGATTTTCAGTAATGATAGGTTTTTTAGTGAGTACTTGCAATGTTGTCCTATCACCTAGAATTAGTTGATGGAAGTTGCCACTTGCCGGAAACTGTGGCTGGTATTCATGTTTTTATAATTGCAGAATAAATTGAATGAGGCTAATGAGGCTCGACAAATGGCGAATCAAGCCCGAGAGGAAGCAGCTCGACTTCGTTTGCGCATTCATGAGCTAGAAAAGGTTGCAAGCGGACATGACGATGTGGTTAGCGGTCTCAATAAAAAGATCGCAGACTTGGAAATGCAGGTTAAATGAAACTATATTTATTTCGATTAGTGGTTCTAGTCGTGTACTTCATATTTCCGCTCTTTTTTTTTTAATAGTATTCATAGTAAATTGGGTCTTCACTGAGCTTTGTCTTCGGGTTTTTTAGCTTGCATATACCAAAGATGATGCTGAAGTGCGACTGCAGCAGAGGAATGAACGCATTAATGAGTTGCAACGTGAAATTGATCGGCTTCTTAATGAATATCAGGATTTGTTTGACTTGAAAGTGCAGTTGGATACTGAACTTAAAGCATATCATAATCTTTTGGAAGGCGAGGAAACCAGGTTTCATTTTGCTCTGTTCCTCGAAATGGTTCTTTTTTTTATTTTATTTTATAGCGTGTTCCAGGCTCAATATCTCGCAGCAGTCCTCTTATTCTCCAAGTGCTTCTCCAGCATCAAGCACTGCTCGGTATGGTGTCAAGCGCAAGCGTTTTGACACTTCCGATGACACCCACTTTTACCAGAATGCAGCTAAGAGTTATAAAGTAAGTGTGTACTCCTTGGTCTTTTTTGATCTAGTTTGGTCAATTCTTACTGACTGTTATGCAGTTTTATTCTTAAAACATGAGAGCATTTCTTCTGTATTTTTTCAGACTACTGCAAAATCAACCGGAGATGTAGAAATTGAAGCTCATGATACAGATGGGAAGTTCGTGAAATTGGTGAATAAAGGTGAGGACACTGTGTCGATCGGAGGCTGGACTTTGAAGAGCATTGCTAACAATAGGGAGACTGCTTACAGATTCCATACTCGTCAAAGTTTGAAACCTGGAGATTCTATAACAGTTGGTTTTTGGAGCAATCTCTTTTCTTCGTCTGATGGGTTACCGTAACATTTGAGTTCAGTTTTATTGGCTGAAATGTCTGCTTATTTTTAGGTGTTCAGCGCTGATAGCGGTGAAAAACATCAACCTCCTTCGCAGCTGGTGATGAAAAACCAGCAGTGGCCATCTGGAGATCGAGTGAAATCTGTTTTGGTGGATGCTGAAGGGAGTGAAGTCGCCGAACGTGAAAGTTATGCAGAGACTCAAATAGGAGAGTTTGACGCTGTTGGTCAGGATCCCGACCAAAGATGTGCTTTAATGTAGTGAAGGCGTCTAATGACCGAGTTTG